TATTTTTTCTTGGATATCATCCATATGGTTTTGTACGTGCATATGATAAACAAGGTCAATTACATCCAGATATATATGTTTTATTAACATTACTCTATTGTATTTCGATCTGTGCATCACCCTTAGTCTATGGCATTATGAATAATCAATTACGTCGTGAATGCATACGAGTATTATTTAATTGCTGGCATTGTCAAAAAATTGATGATTGTAAAAAATATTCTCAACATCGCTCGAATTCAACTACAAGACAATCAATGATAATGAGAAATGGAGATAATATAGCTGATAATCGTGAAAGTGTATCAATGGCATCATCAATGCGTCGATCAACTATAAGGACTTCAAAAATAAAAGTATCAACTATGCCAATACTTGATACAGCTTATGTTTAACAAATTGGAAATTACTAATAATAGAATTATATTTCATCTTATTCTTGCATTGTTTTTTGTCAGTACATTATATGTTAACGTATGTTTGATTTCAGTTTCTTTTTCTTTGAAATTATTTTTACTCTCAGTGATATAATTAAAATGATAATAAGAAAATATTTCTATTAAAATTTTACTTTATTAATTCAATATAATTTTTTTTTCGTTTTGCTGATAAGATCAATATTATTTATTTAATAATAAAGAAAAAAAATATTCTACTATGACATTAGTTTCACAAAAAAAAAGAATAAACAACAGAAAAAAAGAGAGAAAAATGATACAGATCGTATTTAGAATTCTTTATTGGGATTACATTTAACATCATAAATAATTTTAACAACAAAACCAATAAGAAATGCAATAAAAAGAAAGACTAATAAACCAAACCAATTTGTAGTATTCTTTCTAATACTATTAATACGCGCTAGAACACGACATGGTGCACCTGTACCATTACCTATTTTCATTGGAAATATATCTAATGTAAAAAAATTTTTACCAACATTTGTTATTAAATTGTCGACTAAAGCGAGATTTTCTAATCCATATTTATTGTGTTTAGCTAATATTTGATGAACTGGATAAGTTTTTGTTTGTCCATAATCAGCTAAAAAAACAAAAATATAAGAAAATTCTTTGTTTTGTTTTTTATCTTAAAGAGTTTTTTTTGTTATTTTACTTGAAAGAGTATCGAGACCAACACCGACAAGATTATCTCCATATGTATTAACTAAATATATAGCTAATTCTTCGCTTAAACCAGGAAATTCAAGATGTGACTCCCCACCAGCATAAGATGTTTGATCAGGCCAATATTTTGTCCATCCGGTATAGAAAATAAGAGTAAATAAAAATGTTTCTCCAGTATCTTCATCAATTTCTGGTATAGTTAAACTAGCTTTTTTAACATCATCAATTGTAATAAGATAATTTTTATCTTTTTTACATTGTTTCGATACATCAATAAGACGAGCATGTACAGATATTAAATTTTTCAATGGAATTTCATCAACTTTCCAACCTGTAGGAGAGAAATGATAAGGTGCATCTATATGTGTACCCATATGTTCACCGGTAATAAATGAATTTGTCGAATAAAAATATGAATTTTCTTCATTTACCCATTGTACAAAACGTTGTGTAAAATTAAAACGTGTCTGTGAAGGGAAATATGGTATTGAAGGATCGATTGTATGTGATAAATCGATATACGATACTGGAATCGTTGATGATAAATTGAGAATTTGTAAAAGAATAAATAATAATAATAGCATCTTTATGAATGAAGTATTTATCAATATAATGCAATCAATTTTTCTATTTTATTCAATGTTAACGTACGTGAGAAATAAAGAAATGAAGTATCGATATGTACAAAATACACGAGTTATTTTTTTTTTTGCTTCGTCTATTCGTATTTTAACATTGTAGTGTGTGTTATGGTAGCTGCATCGAGTGACGGACGATTCATCATTATTATTACATAGGAAGAAAAGAAAATAATGACTGTTAGTATATATGCCTTGAGAGAAACAACACATAATTGTACACGGACAAAAACTTTTCTTTTTTCTTCTTCTTCTTTTTTTTTACAAAACTGTAGATAGAACGAATGTTGTTTTTTTTATATTTAAAACATACATTGGCAATGCAATGTTTTCTTAATAAAATGTCGACAACTCATTTAAAATAAATATCGAATGTTATTCCGTTGTTTTTATAATGGCGTAGTACCCATAAATTATTTTATAGGACTTCATACTAGTCTGTTTTTTTTCGGAAGTTATATAGCTTATTGAACAATAATTGATAGATTAGTCTAGTATTTAGATTTACTATCGCCTATAACATAATTCAATATATATTTCGATTTGTTTTTGCATTAAGAAAATAACTTATTGAATCAAGTTTGAAGTACACAAATTATTGAAAATAACTAGCATACGATATTTGATGTCCAACAATAAATTTCGGTATGATAAAAGACCGGATCCTATTTTTCGAATTATTGAATTATGTCTTTGAAATAATAACTTAATAAATCGCTTCATTGATCAAAAACATAACTAGATATTTTTATTGGACTTTATTCACATTGTAAGAAATAAATCGATGAGTCATATATTACACCAATTGGATTTAATGGGAATTCAAAATGAATAATAGTCATAAATAATAAAAGATTGATGTTTTTTTGTTCTATATTTCAAATCTTTGTACTCGATTTCATGTTTATAGAAATTTTGAAAGACTATTCTTATAAAATCTAATTAGTCGAACTGTCAAAGATGTTTGTCCTTATTCAGGATTTATTCTCACGCGATTTAGTCATAATACATTCATGACTTATTTGATATAAAGAAAAAAAATTTATTCGCGCTTAGTTTTTATATTATTTTAATCATTCTTTTTTAGTTCCTATGTTTAAATTAAAATCTAATAAAAATGAGAATCATTTATCTGACATTGAGAAAAAATTCAATCATAAATCAGCACCGAAAACTATACGTTTATTACTTGCAGAATTAATTCATAGTTTTATTGAATATACATCTGAATTAACATATTTTTCTATAAATGCATTTCAAACATCTTCATTAAAACGTGTACAAACAATCACATTAACACGTTTCGATAATTATTGTGTACCGCATACGTGTGCATTTTATTATAGTTTAAATCGTGAATATGAAGAATTTATTGAACGTATGAAAAAATTATGTAAACGTACACAAAATACATTTTTAGATATACGTTCAGCACGTATACATTATCCTGAATCGAAAATGTTTAATATTCCAGATACATATCGATTATTAAATATATTAAAATGTAATATCGAACGATTAAGAAATTTAAAACAAATTCATCAAGATCTGTTAGTTTTCAAAGATAAAAAAAAGTATATATTTTTTTTAATTATATAGTGGACATGATCTGCTTTTACCCAATGATCAATTATTTCTTTCACTTGATCTTCTTGTAACTAATTTTCAACTAATTTTATGTGAATTAGATAATCAAGTAAAATTTATTTTTAACGAAAAAAAAATGAATACTTCTAAATAGGTTCGTTTTCGTGATGTAATGATTCTACAAACATTTGTTAAAGATATATTCCTTCAACTCCGTGTTGTTCTTACATGGTTATATCCAGCAATTAAAATGGCTGCTTATCGTATTGGTGATCCAAATAAACAATTTGCTGTTAAACGTTGTAAAAATATTGAAAAATTCATCGATAAAACTTTTCCATTAAATAATAATAATAATTCAATAATTAAAACTACAGATGATAGGTTACTACATAATGAAAAAATTCTCTCTTTTTAATTAATAACCATTGATAGATCTCAATCAGTATTACAAAATAATTCAAGTGAACAAGAATTAAATAATGTTAATGACATCAAACAGAATTCTGTAAGTTATGTAAAATATAATACAAGTTTATTATTTATTAAACGATCTTGTATTTTAAATAAAAGTATGATTTCGTATTTCAGTTTAAGGTTTTATCTTATCTTTCTTCTAGGTGAAGAAGTTTCGAGAGCAAATTTACTTCTTGATAACGATAAGATTTGGTATAAAGAAAAAATAAATGAAATTCAACAAAAACTTGATATGCATTCAGTAAGAATATTTATTTATTTTTCATATAAATGCAAAAACAAGTAAACCTAATACTATATTTTGTCTAAAAAGCTGTTTGTGGTCGAGCATCTAAATATTTCTTGATATTTTCATTACCATTGATTGCATCCATTAATGGTTTAAATTGTTCACCAAATTTTCCTTTAACTTCAGGTACAGCTTGTAATAAAGCTTGAATAGATTGAAATACAAATAAATCAGCCCATGATAATTTATCACCAACAAAATATTTTTCATCTTTACTATAAGCTTTTTTCAATTTACCTAAATTTTCAACATGTTTAGTAACTGTTTCATCGAGAAATTTTTTTAATTCTTCAGCTTTTTTTGTTTCGTCTTTTTCAGGAAAAACTTTGCTAAAATATGTTTCATTAACATCTTTTTGAGTATCAACAACAGCATCGATTTTAGCTGATTCAAGATTATCTGAACCAGCTAAACCTGCTTCACGTGCGACATAACGAGCAATTGTTAATGATTGAGGAAGTTGTGTACCATCAGCTAATTCTAATACAGGAGCTTGACCTAAGATCATTTTTGGTTTATATTCAGGCCATTTATCAAAACCAAAACGAATATCTTCATATGAACGACCAGCAGCAGCTAATATAAGTCGAGTAAGTTCACCACGAGCTTGTAAATCAAAATAATAGAATTTAAGATCACCGCTACTCATTGTCGTTGATATAATGATATAAGTAAATGAAATGAAATATTAACATCAAGACAACAGTCGCTTTTATACAGATCGTTATCTTTGTTTCGTCATGCGAACAAAATAAAAAAACTAAATGATAACGAGATATGCTCTTAGTTATATTTGTTGAGGTTTACATCATATAAGAGATGCATCGTCATTAATTTGACATTTTACCTGTTCAAAGTCAACATTTTCTTTTTCTTCATATTTAAAGATAATGAATGTTTTATCAAAATATGTCATCATGACGTCGATATAAAAATTGCCTGTTAAATGATGATTTCGATAAAAAAAAATAAAAATCATCAATTGTTTTTATTTATTTATAGTCTTCATCATTATCATCATCAATGGAGAAAACATTGCATGTACATCAACTGCGTGTACTTGATTTTATTCATTCGATATAATCAAAAAATATTTCTAATGATACTTTAAAAAATAATTTATATTCATTTAAAAAATAATTTATATTCATTTAAAAAATAATTTATATTCATTTAAAAAGAAGAGAAAAAAATCTAGATTAAATCTATTGCAATATATGTTAATGTGATAAATTCTTTTTATGTATGTAATTAATACTTGTCTTTATTTCTTTGTCTGTAATATAAAATAAATAAATCTTAATATTATGCAAATCATAAAGAATTAAATACAGTTTTCTTTTTATTGAAAAATTATTTCCTAACCTTTCTGATATACTTACATTGGTCATCGTTCGTTTACTAGTCAATAATAATCCATAGACATTTACATCAATTTAAGATTAGATCATATATAAATACAAATGCCCTATAGAACCTTTTTCCTTTTTCTAAACAAAGAACAATCAACTATAATCAATTTGAACGAAACGAAAAGATATCTGTGTATATACATATACAATCCTATGATGGTTTATATTAACCCCCCGATATGATATGAAATCTAAAAAATGAGCTAGTCTCATTGATTATATAAACAAATAACAGATGCCATTGTTATCTTTACTGAACAGAGTTTATTTTTGAAATCATTGACTATGATTCTCTGATCATTCAATCAATGTTTCATAACACAATGATATGATTATCTTATCTTATGAGTATTATTGTTTCTGTCGCGCAAGAAGAAAAGGTTAACTTAGTAAGATATACTATTGCACAGGTCACATATATACATATATATATCTATATCACAATGAACAGACATCATCATATCGATTAAGAACAGATGGGTTCATTAATGTACTGAAACAAAACTATTTTATTCATGATTAAAAAAAGGCAATTTTGAATATGTTTGATATAAGAACAATTTCTATTGAATTTTGTTTAGTTACATGTCTTATTCTATTAATATTTATTGTAAATATCTTACATATACTTTATTTAATTATTTATGAACATAATAAACAAATAAAATCTATCCGCTTAATCTTAATTAATTTATCATTATCATCATTAATTGTTTCAATATGGTTAATACCATTCTTTTATTTTCGTACAATATGGTCATCAGAATCTACTTTATGGCGTTTATGGTCATTTGTTTTTCATATTGTTGATGCTGTACAACTTTATTCGTTTCTTATATTAATAACAACACGTTCATTTCAACGAATTTTTATTTGTTTTATTTGGTTAACACCTATAATTGCATATTCACCATTATTATGGTTACCATCGTTATCATTCTATGATAAAATCGATTATTTACCATATCGAAGATTAACTATAAATATTCCCTGGTGGATACTACCAATACTTTATTTTAGTATGTATTGTATACCAATATTTATTTCATTACTATTAAATAGTATTCATATATGTTGGCCATTAATATTTTATTGTTATAAAAAAGAAAAACAAGAGATTTATCAACAATATAACAATGAACATCATAAAGATATGATGGAATTAAAAAATCTTATTGAAACTGTATTCAATTTTCAATTAGAACAATCAACTAATAAAAATGTAAATATTAAAAATTAAATAAATCTTAATTTTTTTCCTATTTTTTAGATTTGTATATCTTCTTGTTCGAATGAAATTCATCAACCATTATCATATAAAGTTTGTCAACATGAATCGTTTTTTTTATTTGATGAACTTTCAACATATTCTTTACTTCATTCAACACAAATAAAAAGCAAAAAACACATTAAACAACCACTTAATTCTTATATGTTATTTATCATTACATGTCTATTGTTACTTGTTCATTTACCTTACATACTTTTATCTTTTCTTGATATATCTGCACTTCAATTATCTACATTTATTTATATTCATTGGTTTAGTGCATTATTTGTACCACTGATACATATTAAATAAAAATTCGATTATATCATTATAGTTCTAATATATGTATTGATGAATGAGATTTATTGATTCTTTTTTCCGTACAATGGAAGAAAATGAAAATATTCACAAATAACTTCTAATCATCAAAATTTCACAGAAAAATATTTATTATGAACTTGTTTTTTTTTCCGATTATAACGCTAGTTGTTTCGATAAGTCGTCTGTTTCTGATAAAGAAGAATTTTTATTTTCATCCTCTTGACTGTCTGATTTTTCATTAGATTGATTTTCTTCATCAATATCAAAACTTGATTGAGGTTTACGTAAATTCCAATGAAGTATGTCAGCTAATGATTCAAACCAATCTCCTAATTGATCAAATCGACATATGGACGGAATAGGATAAACACTTGTTGTAATTTTTATACTAAAATATAAACAAATAGAATATTTCGTCTAAGTAAACACCAGTATATAATTTACCTATCTTCTTGATTTAATTCAAGTCGATTTCTTCCATCAACTGAAAGCCATGCACTTAGACGAGTATCTTCCGATACTTTCACAACAAGTTCAATACCAGCTGGAACAACAATTGGACGAAAGGATAATGAATGCGGACAAATTGGACAGATCACCATTGAAGGAACATTTGGATGAACCATAGAAGCACCAGCTAAGAAGAATATTTAAGAATTACCTAGAAAAAAATCAGACTATAAACATACCAGCCATTGCATAAGCTGTAGAACCAGTAGGAGTAGAAATAATCAAACCTATACAAAATCAAAATGTTAATTATTTGAGAATAAAATTTTGCAGTATTCTTAATAATTTACTTACCATCACCTTGTACTTTAGTAATAAATCTATCGTTAATAAATAAATCAAGATTTGATAAATATGAATTTGGTCCTCGATCAATAACAACTTCATTTAATACCAGACATGTCTTATTATCCTCATGATCTAATTTAATTGTATCATTTGTACGTGAAGATATATCTGGCGTAGTTGGTGTCGATGTATTATCTGATGTTTTTTTATTAATTGTACAACTTAAACGTGATCGTAATAGAACAGCAACATTACCAGCTAGAACTTCATTTAAAATTTTTTCATGAGATTTAAAATCAAATGGAGTTAAAAATCCCAATGAACCCATAGAAAATGATAATATAGGTGGACAACTTTTTTGAAATATACTTGAAGCATGTAAAAGTGTTCCATCACCACCCAGACAAATAATTAAATCAATTTTTGGTAAATCCCCTTCTAAATTTAATAATTCAGATAAAAGAAAATATTTCTAGAACAATACCTTGATCAAAGACAATAAATTGTTCAGCATATTTTTTCAAATCAGAATTATTATCCACTGATAAATATTCTTGATCAGATGATTCAATATAAACATTGAGATGACGCTAATATTTGTCATTATTATGTTAAGTTTTTGAAATGAGAATGTATCCTTACCCTCAGAAGTTTTCCAATAAGAGTCTGAAATTCTTTTAAAGTCGTTGGTCCTGGTTTACGAATAATGAGAATATGATTAGGTGTTGAAATCCAATGTAAACGTTGAGTAGATGGATCTTGAATAACACTATTCATTCAAAAGCAAAAAAATAATATTTTATAAGCGAAATAAAGATTACTTACATAAGTTGATCATTATTTTGGATTTTTTTGAGAGTACCCTTTGGTCCAAAATTACATTTTGGTGATGGTGCAAATACAGGACGAGATCGCCTACAAAAAATTCCATAAAAAATATATAAATAATTGTTTTATTAATAAAATTAACATTTAAAATACTGCTATCTCCACACAAATAGACACTCATTGTCTCGATAATATATATTAAAAAACTGATTATATCATTAGAAAACTTCGCGCCGTCCAAAAACAGTGATGGTCAAATAATAATATTAAATTCATCGTTTGTTTTTTCTTCCTAGTTATTTAGTCTAAAGTTTGAATTTAGAACAAAATAAAATGAAATACTAACCAACATGTACGTGCACTTGGTCGATTATTTGTTCGTGGTAATGGAGCACATATATAATCATCATTATATTCTTGAATTATTTCATGACTGCCATTGAGCAATGTTTTTTTTTTCAAATTTTCATCATTTAAAATTTGAAGTGCAAATTCATCAGCACTTTTCGCTCGTCGTTGCTGAAACGGTATTGATTTAGATAGATTATTTCTATCATTTTCACTCATCTTAATGTACCAATAGAAAAGGATAATCGCGTAATCAAAACGGGATTTTTGAATGTTAATCGTGAGTAAGCGAAAAAAGAAATGTATAAAGAGAAACCCAATGATACGATCGATTATTATGGGTAAAATAGCAAAAGCGAAGGAGAAAAGAAAAGGTAAATATACTTCAGGTGCTTAGATATGGTAGAGTACCAATCAATATATAGCTTTACTATTGTTAAAATATATACTATATTAAAAAGAAAATCTGTATTTATTCTCAATGTATTGATTGATGGATAATTTATTATTTTTTTTTAAGTATATAATAAAAATAAAAATGCACAATAATAAATCTTCTTAATTTAAACTTTGAGTACTTTTTTCGTTTAGTCGAAAATGGTAAAACAAATTCGTTTTACTGTAACTTGTCAGAGTAAAAACAAATCGAGAAAAAGACTCTGATAGTTTATCTTATCTTTTATCATTATAATAAAGATTATTAAAGCCCTTGCCTTGACATTGTATCGTTATGCGATTTTTTTTCTATTCATCTCAACGATATCTATTAGTCATTTATGTCTTTGTGTACATCAAATTTTTGAATGACAATGTAAAAATAAACTCAAAAATTTTTATATTATAAAATCGGAAATAATAAAATAATTTAAAAAAAAGCTTATCTTAAACGATATTCTCATACTTAAATCTTAAGTGTATTTATCAACATACCATAAACAATTGATAATGATAAATATTTACTGGTTTATTGATGACAACACTTATCGATGGGTATTTCGAATCATCGTTTGCACAGATTTAAGTTTTAAATATGCTTATTTATAGGTTGCATGACATGAAAAATAGTGTACGAGGACGTACTTTTTTTCTTTCTAAGAGTTTTCATTATATAATAGCTTGAATTGAAGGAAAAAGAAAAAAAAGTGACTTGCTAGAATGACAATGCAGTATTGTCAAATTTATTTATGGTAGTGTTTTTAAGCAATTAAAAACATCGTCTTGACGTACATCAGGTTTCTTTCAAAACTTATAGATGTCGACTACTTACAATAAAGGTTTTCACAGGTATTTTCGTTACATAATACCTTTAGCTAATTACAAAAACATAGACTTATTTTCAAATGAGAATAATTTCTGAATATCAAAAATATAATAAAATCAATTTTTTCAAAATTTATTTATTTCATTAAAGATATTAATTAATCTTTGTAGTAATATTTATTTCTTATGCTGGTACAGCTTGTTCCCCAGTATCCGTATTACCACAATCGACTTTTTTGCAACGAACATAAAAATCAGCAAAGCACCCACCACAATAATTCGAACTAAAAATTAAAGATATATGTATTCAAGCCCAAACATCTTTTTCTCTATTACCGACAAACAGCCGTTGGATACTTCTTGCATGTTGCAAATTTGCATGGATCAACTAAACAGTTAACTTGATTGTCACATGTTGGTTTTTTAGCTTGAATAACTATTTAAATAAGAATATTATTCAATTGATATATTTTTTTCTATTGAATTTAATCAAACCTGATATTTGACTTATGAAAAGCATACAAATAATGCAAAACAAATAGAATCGTGGAGTCATACTTGATAGAAATGTAGTTTAATCATATTTTTTACTTCGCTTTTTATACTTACGAATGAATAGGTACATTAAAAGCATATGGAGCAATATCTATAATTGTATATTCAAAGGATGTTTGCTTTGTACTTTGGATACTTTCTTTTCAATCATAAGCAACAAGTGTTTTTAATGATTTGAATGTTCCCAATCATATTTATTTATATATATAACATATAAAATATTACAATAAAAGAAAAAAAAACAATCAAACGAAAAAAAAATAACAGTTCGTTGTATTGTTATTGAAAATGGCTTGAATTGAAATTGTAAGTAAATGAATAACCTAGAAACCTTACTGCGACATAAATTCTATTTTCTAAGAAATTATTTATTTAGTATTCCACCTAGAATACGACTAACATAGATTTTCTAATATTCTAAGAATTCTGAATTTGATTAAACAAGATTACATGATTTTCATTTAAATTTATTTTTACTCTTTAAAAATTACATAAAAAGTTTAACAAAAAATTTTTTCGATCACGTTGTTGCCAATTAAATTTCAATGACTACTGCGTAAAATAACGTCATCATTCATCAAGCATTTAAATAAATATTTTTGATAGAAATATATGTATATAATTTAGATTATAACAAAAGTTTTAAATGCATTTATAGCTGATGTCAGACAGTAGTCTAAAGAGAAGTGAAAAGGGCAAACAACGGATCTACTCAACAAAATAACCAGAGAATAGATATATTACATTTAATATAATAAATAAAAAAATAATTTTGTTAATTTATCTTCTCAAATATATTTCCCAAAAGATTGACATTCAAGATAATATATATATATAGACAAAAGCAGGAAATAATTGAGGAATCTTTAAAGTACTTAATATAATATATAACTACAATAAAATAACAATGATTAACGTGCATGTTAGAATATAACAGAGACACTACATAAAACAATGAAGAGCAGTATGTGGAGTATATATAATCGAGTATTTTCTTTTTTCATTGCTATTGACAAAATATCTGTCTTTTTTTTATCTCTAGAAAGGGAAAATATAAAAATAAAATCTATAGAGATTATTTTCATTAGGAAACTTACATATCTAATCTGACTTAAATATTGTTGGATGGAATTATATTTTTCTAGACTTAACAAATGAAAAATTTTCATATCTTGTTTTGTATATAATTAACAATCATATTCTGCTTATTCATATCCACACTAAGTATTTGTTGTTATGTTAATATTTGTAAACAAAATTATACAGCTGTATATGGGAGGAAACAGATATTTAATAATTATCTTTGATAAATCTTCAAAAAATAGCTGACTTAATATAATACCATAAATATTCTGTTTAAAAATCATTAAATCATAATAAAACTAAACTATTGTAATAATAATTCATCTTAACTAATAAAGCCACGATAAAATCTTGTAAACCATAATATTCAAAAACACTTCATTTCTTCATTTTAAATCTACAATATCATATCCTATCTTACCCTATTAAAACAATTCGAACCATTTAACAAAATTATCTTCATTAATTGTCTTGTCAGACGAAATTATATGATTATCAAACAAAAGATTCTCTCTGGAACTAATTATTAATTAAATATCAGCTGTAATCGATAACAAAAACACCAAAACTTTTCATAGATCTATTTTCCACAACTGATTATGTACGAATTTATAAACCTAAAAACAGAATAACTAGACCTTACCCACTTAACGTTTTTTCAATTCCTTAATAATTTTGCTTATAATACAAATTTGTTTCGTTCTTTACAATTAATATTATTTCTTTTAAATCTCTTTAACAAAATCTTCTTTATCATAGTAAACATATATAATCATTGCAATTATTATAAAACAAAAACAAAAATATTCTTCACTAATATCAAATAAATTATAACACATTAACATTTTATAATTCATAACATAACATAAAAAGGGCATTACACATATTGCTCAAAATATAAGAAGGCAAAAATAATTCTTTTCTTTTCTTGATATTTAGAAGATCAAGTATCGCACAACGACACATTTTTTTGGTAAATTTCATATAAGTGGTGTATGGTTTTTTCTTTCTTTTTTTTAAATAACATTATTGATGAAGAGAGAAGAAATGCACGCAAACATATTGGGATTCCCACTGAAGATATATATTATTTGGAATGGTTTCTGTTCTCTGAAGAATGAGAACATGTTTCTCATCTTGTTTTTTTTTTAAACTGAAGAATAAGAGAACTATAAAAGATATATGTATATATATTGCAATGTCAATCGATAATTTTAAGTTTAAAAGAAACTTACATAATTAAAAATATTCACTAATATGTATGTAACCATGGGTAATTTAAATAAATCATATGATTATTCTTAACACTCTCCGAATTTAGATTTTGTTGAATTGGATAAATAATTTTAATAAAAAAATCTTCCTTCTTATCTGTTAAAAGCATGATGGATGATCAAAGTATGGTCTTCTTTTTGGTGGTGGTGCTGCTGCTGCCCTTGAAAATGAACGCATTTAAATAATGCATAAATGGCTTACGGTTTAATATTATTTTGAAATAATTTATTATCTGTAATTCTTGCACTCGACACGAATTGATATTACGAACATATATATATATTGCTGCACATAGAGAGTCTAACTACGACTCGTCTAGGCTTTTGGCTGCCCACTTCTTGCACATTATACGCATATGAATTCTCCCCTGAAAACGACGAATCCACCCAAAATTTATACTATATGAAATTTTTTTTGGCTTCTCTGTAATTTGACATGAATGGCAAAAGTTGTGGTGTTAACACGATTTCTTCTTTCTTCTTCATTTCTCGAAAGGCAACCTACAAAGTCGGAAAATCGACTCGAGGGTAAATAAAATAAGCTCACAAAATGACACCATAATTCATACTTGATTTGTACATGTTTAACAAAACATAACATATATGTATAGATATGTGTATTTCTTTTCAATTAATCTTCTTTTCTATGTAAATAAACATTTCGATTTGAATAACAAAATTCTACCTTGTTTAATAATTTAATGCCAAAAAAAAAGAAAAATCTGCATTATGTATATTTGACTTTCATTTCAGGAAAAAATGACAATTAATATTAATTCATTTTTGACATGGTTATAGTAATTACACACAAAAATTTGACGATGTGCGATTAAGATCTTCTCACCAAACACTCTTAAATATCATATGTACTTGATGCTGTTCTAATGTTAGTTTTCTTATTGTTCTATATGAGAACAAAATCTTGATAAAAATTAAAATTATTTTACCAGAATATGTTGAAGAAAAATCGAGAATTTTTAATTGTAATATGAAGATTTAACTATATGATAAAAAAATCTTGGATATAGATAAATATATCCTACCACCATAGATACAGATATGCATAAATCATATCAAACAATGCTAGTGTGGAACAATATTGGGCAAATATGGCCAGAAAATTAATAACATAAACCCATAGAATGATTTATCATCTTCTCTCAATTAATGAGACTCGACACTTTCTGCATATAAATGGCTGGAGATTTCGTTCAACTAAAGAAAAGTGAAATTGCGATAGAAACGAATTTAAAAAAATAACAAATAATCTAATTAAGAGTTAAAACAAATAGGATAATACTTGCTCCGGAAAAGTTAGCGAACTATAACAAAAAGGAAAAAAACAGAGAAAAAGAAAAACAATTATTTACATAATTGGTCGATTCAACATCGTCACTGAAATAAGTATCGAAAAATTATAAAATAAAAAAATAGTAACTCAACAGTGATTATCGATATTCTTTTTTCTTGGATTGTATTTTCAATCAATGATTTTCTGTAATAAATAAAACGATGGAATAAAAATCTCAAATAAGAAAACCTGTATATATATATATTCTTTTTTTTCTGGACAAGCCGATAAATCTTGGAGTTATCCTAGTCTAAGAATGTAAAACAAAAAGAGGAACGAAATATACCATCATACAATATGTATGAGGTGTGATTATAAACGCGCATAAATACAAAAGATAAACAGTATCACTTACCTTCACTGTTCATCGACGCGGTGTACAAACCGTCGTCGTCATTTTTCTTATGGTGGCATGGTTGTGATCGTCATGAAGGACGATGTGTGAAAAAGAGAAGAGATGTATAAATAACAAATGGCAAACGATGTTGTAAATGTGGTAGATACAGTGTGTAGGTTGCTATATATATACCCATCATTCAATTCTCTTTTTCTCTCTCTTTCTCTTTCTCTCGTCTACATTGGATTTTTCTCGACGACAACTTCGACGACGATGATGATGTATGACGAGAAGCATTTGTGTTCTCGAACGAACGAAAGAAAAGAAGAAAAAAAAGAAAGAAAAGAATAATATAAGTGAAGTAGACCTTAGTAACGAACAGAAAGAGAAAAAAAGAGAGGCAAAGAATGAATAATCGAGAAGCTTCTATTTTTTTTTCTTCGCTTCTTCTTCTTCAACCCACCTCGCGATAGTGTCATGTGATGAGCGTTATTGCGAAGCACAATTTACCCCTACTTACAAAGACGTGACCGAGTGTCTAATCAAAAAGAATAATAAGAGATCTTACATAAAAAATCAATATGGTCCTCATTTATATTTCATATAATTTATATTTTGAATATTTCTATTGATATAATCAATATATTTATTAGTATTATTTGAAAGAAAAATAATAAAAACATATTCATAAATAGCTAAACAATGACCTTCATATCCACATGAAAGTATTTACATTTATTATGCAATAGATAATCAGTTATAATTTATTTGCACGTACAATTAATTGAAATTCTTTAGTTAATCATATGTTTATCGAAATATTCAATGGGGGCTGATGTAAACTATTCAAATGAAAATAATACAAAAAAAACCGTAGTCACATGCTTCGTTTTTTTGTATTAACGTACGATGAAAACAGT